TCTGTTGCGTTCGGCGTGGTGCACACCACCTGTAGCAAAAACTCTCCAAAAAAAAAAGAAAAAAAAAAGAAATAAAAAATGTAAACTTTAATTCTCAATATGTGCTCTTTTTTAAAAATAATTATTTTATTTAATTGTATTGACTTTTTAACTTGACTAGTGGGGGGCGGGGAGAGAGAGAAAGAAAGCAAGCCACCAGGTCTGGGATTTGAACTTTGCTTGGCCATGTGGGAGTCCAGCACCCTTAACCACCACGCCACCTGCCGGCCCTGTGGTCTGTTAAGTAGAAGACACTTTTTTTTTTTTTTTTGGAGAGGATTTTTTGCTACAGGGCGTGTGCACTCGCCAGACAGAGCGAGAGAGACAGAAAGTGAGAAATCACCCCCCAGGGGGGATGGCCACGCTGCAATCCCTTCTCTATTCTCCTCTCGGGATCATGGGCACGCACACACACGCGCCTGGCGTGAGTTTACGCCACCGGGTCCGGGACGCGAACCGCAATTGACTACGTGGGAGTCCAGCGACATAGCCACTACGCTAACTGTTGGTCCAAGTAGAAGACACTTTTGTAAGCAGTGATATCGGTCATTTAGTCCATCCCTTGAGAACTGAGGGTCCTGGGAATTTAACCATGTCTTTTTTTTACATCATTAACTGAAGAAAAATGGGTGCCCTTCAAAGACTTTCTACGATTAGAAACAGAAGTCCAAAGGGACCAAACGGGGCTGTAAGGTGGACAGTGAGATAGAGGGGCTCCCATTGAAACTGCTGCCCTCGATTCACCGGAGGAGTAAGCAGGAGCCTTGCCATGGTGGTGAAGGACTCCGGTGAAGCTGTCCTGGGTATTGCCTGCTAATACCTTCGTCTCATTTTCTCCAATACTCTCATTAGCAGAGGTCATTTTTCTTCAGGCTCTAAAATGTCAACAAGCAAAATGCTTTGGGGAAACTGTCACCATGACCTCTGCTCCTAAGTCCACTTGTGCTTTGGCCGAACACTTCTGCCACTTGCTTTCATGGTGCTTTGTCTTCAGGATCCTGCTGCAAGCCATGTGTCATCTCCTGTTACAGTTCTTTGAAGAAATGCTTCAGCAGCTTGATCCTGCCTGTTTAAAATTTCCATTGAGGGGCTGGCAGGTGGCCTGGTGATAGAGGCCACTGGACTGTCTCATGGCCAACCACGGATCGAGTCTGGGACTGGACCTGGTGGCTTGCTTTCTCCCTTTCCCTCCCTCTCTTTCTGTCCCTCACTGGTCGAATTAAAATAAATAAGATAAAGGCAAAAAAAATTTCCATCGAATGCAGTTTTAATTTTTTAGTTAGAATTCTGTAAGCGGAACCATCTGAGGGTCTGTGGTGTTGGCCATTGTTTCTGCTGTTAATCATCAGGCCTCTTCAGTTAGGACGCTAAAAAGATGAATTATCTTTCCTTATAAATTGGTTACTGTGGATGTCACCTTCAACATTGTCTTGTATCTTCTTAAACTGGGGGTTACTTTGGGTCATTTTCTCCATCAACTTTTTTTTTTTTTTTTTGGAGAGGTTTTTGCTATAGGT